TCCTTTGTTTTCTAAGCAAGATCATCTGAGACGTCATGGACAGTAGGTCTGATCTACTAAAGGACTTTCTTACAGGCTTACTTTGTTCTAAATCAGCTTCTAACAAAGAATTTCCAGTTTTAGAAGTCAGCAATTTGGGCAGTAATTCATCTCATAGACCCCAGCACTTCCAATGCACAAATTAATGTCACAAACAAACACTGAGATACGGCTCGAGGCCCACAGACCATGGGGTTGGCCACCGACTTAATCCCTTTCTAACCCATGTTTTCAACTCCGTTTATTGGGAAACTAGGATTTGCTTTACTGAAAATGAAACTTGAGTGGACATGGCTCTCCCCTGCTAGTTCCACTTGAGAGCTAAGCTTCGGAAAGGGTAGGCTGGCGGGAAAGAAGAAATGGTGTGCCCTGGGCTCTAGAACAGGTGTCGTTTGAAGGTTTAGATCTGTTTGGGCAGAACAGACCCACTAGTGGGCATGCTCTTGGGAAGGCCATTCTCTCCTTGGACTGAGGCTCCTAAAGGACTCACCTAAAGCTAATAGGTAACGGCTTTTCATCAATGAGATGCTGTAACTCAGTTTTATGACCACAGACAATCCTTTGGTCTTCAGACCTACCCATAAAATGTCACCTTCGGTTTATTTCTCACAGCAAAACTGTTTTCTCTTCCTTTTTCTTTCTACTGATTCACCCTTAGTAGGAGTAAGTAAATTCATCTCACTTCACAGAAAAAACAACAGAAAAATAGAGGGGTCTGCCTTGTGCGGTGGAGATGGGCTGCCTGTGCTCTAACCTTAGATTGGGGATGGCTACTAGAAGTTCATGAACTTTCTTTTGCCCATGACATGTCTTTATTTAGTACCTGAAAAGATTAAATCACAAAAATGGTGGTTTCGGCTGTGCAATGAATCGGATGTGGAAAGGATACAGATCTCCCTGTCTCATGGAGCTGCTCATCTTTGTATTTCACTTTTACATGAAGCTAATACTCATCTACCCCAGTATTTTGGGCACTTTTTTTTTAACCTATAAAATTGCCAAATATTTAAATGGCCCCTGGTCACACTCACCAAGGCCATTGGTAATCCTTTCTATGATTAATTATATTCTATGATTTAAGAGAATACAGTTTATAGCAGTGCTTGAACATTTAGTTTCTCCATAAGCATGAATACTATTAAACATCTAAAAACAAGAGGAAGATCAGCCCCCCAAAAAAAATCCAAAAGAAAAGAGATAATATAATGGGAATCATTATTATCTTTCAAAGCAGTATTATTTTATGAAGAAAGAAGGGAAGGGAAGTGTGTGAGAGAGTTCAAAGATGAGGGGATGAGGTACAAATAAAGGCAGAAGGAAGAGGCAAGGCTGGGGGAACGATGATGGTGAGATTATTCTAGGTGTGTCAGATGGTGGTGTCCAACGAACCAACGGTGTATCCACACCGGCCCTGGGGATGTGGATGTGTGCTAATGTGCGTGGCTCACCTACACGCACACACAAGTGAAGTTATTTCAGCAAAATTTTGGCTGCTATAGTGTCATCTTTTCTCCTAGCTCAACAGAGGACTTTCTAGGAGGCAAAAAATGATCTTACCATTAATCTTATACTCCCCAAATGGAGTGACAGAGTCAGCTGTGTGGAGACTGTACACTGGGAAAATTTCAAACCTGAGTCCCCCTTGCAAACTGTCTCTGCTCCTTGGGATTCTTGCCGATCGCAGGCGCCATCTCCTGCATCTTAATGTCACGGTGTCCACACAGCACACGCCCTCTGTGGGCCCAGCTCCAAGACCCAGTCTCGGCACTGCTTGCCAGCTGAAGAGAAACTTTGGATCATTTTGCAATAACTTCTGAAATCTACATGCTTTTTTGAACTCTCGTACACACCTTTCCCAGTCACTTCTTTGAAGAGGCTTATGGATCAAGTTGCCAGGCAAGGAAAATGAAATCTTGCTTTTACCTTCTGTGTTTGGGCTGGGTCGGTTGTTTATAGCTGACTCAGTGCTTCAGCAAGTCTGTTTACCAGGATTTGATTATTATACACACTTAAATCTACTTCAAGACTTGTTGCTGAAACTTAGGGAGGCTGTTCATTGTAGTTTTTAGGAAATGAAAAAGCCTTAAAGTAAAACAAATTTCAGGTTTGACCATCATTATCCAGGTTTTCTGTGTTACATTAAAAAAAAAAAAAGGTGTTTCAGGGAAGTCGTACAACTTTAGAAAGGATAAAAAGAACCTCCTTTTCTGAGGTTTTAATTACATCTTCTGATAAAAAGTAGCCTGTTAACAGTTCATCCATAGAAGAAGAAATCTAAGGCAGCAGATAGTGGAGTCTCCTTTGCTTTATCACCAGGCCGTGCTGTAATCTCGAACGCTCTCTGCCCAGCATCGGCTTTGAAGAGTTCTGGGATGGCTTTAAGGTTACCTTCTCAAGGCTACGCAGGGACCAGGTGACCTCAGGGTCCTCCTCCCAGGAGGGTGTGGACAGCTCCTGGGGAGCTGACCCTGCTGTTGGAGGAGCCCTGAGGTTGACCTCTCCCCACAAGCCTTGCTGATTTTCTGGGTGGCTTTTAGTCCTAACCCAAGCCACCTCCAAGGATCAGGGTTTAGGCTAAAAGATCTGATAGCTCAGAAACATGCAAAATGGATGAAGGATACCAAAACGAACCATGTGAAGAAATCTCACTGAGAGTGTCTGAGTCCCTTGGCTTGTACGTATCATAGGAAGGAGGAATTCTACTTGAGAAACAATTTTCCCTTCCGGTTTATTACTAACCCGCTTATGGCTTTGGTACACTTCCGTTTTTTAGTAAAGGGAAATAAGTAAAAGAGGTATAAAGATTCTTGTTGTGCACTAACTTTATAAAATATGCTATCAATCTGTATTTCCTTTATTTATTTTTACATCTTTATTGGAGTATAACTGCTTTACAATGGTGTGTTAGTTTCTGCTTTATAACAAAGGGAATCAGTTATGCATATACATATGTTCCCATATCTCTTCCCTCTTGCGTCTCCCTCCCACCCTCCCTATCCCACCCCTCTAGGGGGTCACAAAGCACCGAGCTGATCTCCCTGTGCTATGCGGCTGCTTCCCACTAGCTATCTATTTTACATTTGGTAGTGTATATATGTCCATGCCACTCTCTCACTTCGTCCCAGCTTACCCTTCCCCCTCCCCATATCCTCAAGTCCATTCTCTAGTAGGTCTGTGTATTTCCTTTAAATTAACTATATTTTCTGAATGATTAAAATCAGAGATTTTAAAATAAAAATCACCCATCTCCTTACACTAGTTAAAACAAGGAGGGGCTTTTCTGATCCCTTTCTTCATACACATATCAGTTATGTATGTTGTTTTGTACAAAATATTGGTCTACAGAATGTTTTCAAGTATATGTACTCTTTATTGCATTCCTTCATTTGCATTAAACAATATTTATATTTTTTCAATATAGTTTTGGACAAAACACAAAGACATTAACCTTATTTAACAAGACACATAAGTTAATACAATGTGTGCTGCTTTCATGGGAAGAGAAAAAAGAGGCAAGATCTAAAACAGATAAGGGAATCCAGGATATTGGCCACCAGCAATCACAGAATTTCACAATACAATCCACCTAAAAAAAACAAAACAAAACAGCCACAAAATAAGCTAGGGATGAAAACCCAAAAGAAAGTAGATGTGACATACAAGTCTACCAAACATATACAGAGAGCAAGATCTGGAGATAATTTACCTTCTACCACAGGGACAGATGACATAGCTACACCCAAGTACCTGATGCGTGACAAGCCTTACAGGTGGTGTTAGGTACCTTCAGGTGGCTCCTGATCGCTTGTCCTAGAAGTTTAAGCAGCAACCGAGAGAGAGTGGCATGTTCCACAAGTCTCCTCACCAAACATGACGACCTGATTAAATTTCTTCAAACTCGGCTTACACCACCATTCTCCTTCTCTTTGGAAGAAGTGCGTAGTGGGGAAAGGAAATGTCTTCAGTGTATTGGAATGGGTGTTAAAGGACTGAGGGGAGAGGACTAGAAAGTGGTTTATTTTTTCTGGAAAACAGTGTTTTATTTATGCTAGGTAGTACAGATAATTTAAAGGGAGGATACATTCTAAGTAAATCATTAAGCTAAGGAAAAAGGAAAAGTGGTGATACTAAATAAGCCTTTAATATTAAACTAAGGGATTGACCCATTTAGAGTTGGACACTAATGAGTGCTGAGAGGGTTTTAAGTTACTTTCATGACGCCTTTCTGTTTAGGGGTGTGTGCTTTTTCCATACACATCTCTCACAAGCTGTTAACATCTACCAAGTGGTAATGATTAGCATATCTCTTGCCACAGAGCAAATTACTTATATTAAGGGGGTGTCACAGCCAACATGGTAATAATCTGACATTCTGTTAAGAAAGATCTCCTGACTGCAACTTGGAAACATCTCTGAAAATGACTGAGAACAGCATCTTAGAAATTCAAAGCCCTGTTTCTTTAGGCAAAGATAACCGGGCTTCCGGGAGAACCTTTAACCATATATCCAATTACCTTTAGTGTTAGCACAAGGAAGTTACAAAATAATCCCTTTGAACCCATACCTCTATTCACTGCTCCTGGTTTACATGTAGAAAGTCTTCCTTCTACTCCGTGAACTGCTGTTTTGCAACATCGTTGCGTTTATTGAGAGTTTTTGGCTGACGGTGGTGGGAGGGAGCTTAGAATGTGTAGTGTTCACAAGCACAGTATGTTTCCCACGTTTAAAGACTGAGCAAGAAGGAATCAGCTTGCATGGAAAGGTGAGCACAGCATATTCTAAAGCAAATTTATACCTTCCACAAAACTGAATATCTCAATAAGCACAAGGAAGCGAGTTTCACTGCACTAATCATGCAGAGCGAGCACGTGTTGAAGGTAGGGAACATTTCACTTTGTCCAGTATCTTGAGTAAGTCGAGTGAAGATCCCAGGCCACCTTCACCTTGGTCCCTTTCCTTGGTCACTTTGTATCTGAAAATAGTTCATTTTCAAAGTCGAGGGGGCTACTGAAAAAGAAATATCCAAAACACAAAAAACAGATGACGGTCTGCAAAAAGCCGTTCATCACAAAACCACACTAAAAGCTTCTTAGTGGCTTTTCTACATTTTTCGCTATGTGTTTGCTATTAGAGGAGCATTTCACAAAAGAAAGTGGTTACGCTCCATGCAATTTAAAAGCAGGTTCCAATAAATATGTACCATCGAACTTTTTCCTGCCTTGTGACAAGGAAGTTTTGCAAAGCAGGACAGGGAAAGCAAAACAAAAGTACAATCCATTTCCTTCCTTGGTCTCCTAGACCTGCAACACAGCCAAGAATTCTAATAAATGGAAACAAAGTTGTCCAAGAGAGGTTGAGAATTCAAATTCACATGCACTGTACAGCAACTCTTAGAATAGGCACATGGGTTTAAAAGAGTGGGAAGTCTGGCTGGCGGTCTTAAGTGCCGCATGTACTTACGCTCCTTCTTCTCTCAAGAGGGCCAAGAATTTTCTCACACGGTATTCAGGATCCATCTAAACACATCAGAAGAAATAAAGACGACGGGTTAGTGGTGCCTTCTAATAATGATGCACTTACTTCATGCCAAGAAAATGATCGGGTTTATACTTCCTTAGCGCTTTGCTGAGTCACAGAAATGTGTTACCTGCTCCTTGACCAGTATTCTGATACACAGCAAAGCAGACTGTGTCACTCAAGGGAAGTGAATGGGATTTCCCAGCATAGAGAATCGCCATGCACGAGGTTGCGAATGACCCAGCTGGTCATCCACAGGCACCTCAGTTGAGCGCTGCCTTAGCTAGCAGCGGGTGAGGAGGCAGCACTGAGAGGCACCAAGTGTGAGACTGGGGCTGCCCATCATGGGGGTGCACATGGCATCCAATTCATAGGGTTCATCGAAGGCATCAAAGTGAGACCGAAACTGAAGAAACCAATTGGTGTTGATTAAGCAACTAAAGAGCAGCTTATTAACTCTATATAATGCACATGTGAGCCTTTCTTAGCCTTGGTCTCTCTTGCATAGTTTCTTCTTTGCAATTAACGAAAAAAATTGTGCTGAAACTAAAAAAAAAAAAGAACAGTGGAGCTGATTCCTCTGACATGCTCTCTGGATAATCCGGGTCTCTTGTGACTGAGAACCGCATTGTGAGTCTAAAAAAAAGATGGGGGAGTTAGTTCTGGCTCAGGTTGTAGGTTCAGGTTGTTATTATTAATTATCCCTACTCATTTTCATTTCATATTCATATTTCTACTAATTTGTTTAATTATATTCTCATTGGTCCACCAGAGATTTGAAGTAATCTAAAAAATGATCATTAGAAACATCTTTAATGGGGCTTCCCTGGTGGCGCAGTGGTTAAGAATCTGCCTGGCCAATGCAGGGGACATGGGTTCGAGCCCTGGTCCGGGAAGATCCCACATGCTGCGGAGCAATGAAGCCCATGCACCACAAATACTGAGCCTGCACTCTAGAGCCCACGTGCCACAACTACCGAGCCCACGTGCCACAACTACTGAAGCCTGCATGCCTAGAGCCCGTGCTCCACAACAAGAGAAGCCACCGCAATGAAAAGCCCGCGCACTGCGACGAAGAGTAGCCCCCACGCGCCACAACTAGAGAAAACCCCGCGCGCAGCAACGAAAACCCAATGCAGCCAAAAATAAACAAATTTATAAAAATTTAATTCCTTAAGATGAATTTTTACTGTAAGAAACACAATAAATTTTTATTGTAAGAAACACACCTAACTTTTAAAAAATGTTCCAGGGCAAGGAGTCTGTTTCCCAAGAGGGAACTCCCTGCCCTCCAGGAATAGCTTTCAAATGCTCAGTGCAGCTGTGGGTAAATGTGCAATTGGATTCCCCCCTCCAACCACTTTTTTTTTTTTTTTAAGATTTCTTCTCTTCTATCCCAGAAAAACATCTGAACAGAAGTTTCAAATGTATCAAAGTTAAGAGGTCAGACTACAAAGGACTAAGAAAAAGTGTGAATATTTAACAAGAGAAACATTTTTCCTCTTTGGGAATAGAATTACATATGAGTCAATTGTCAAGTTCTTTAAAAAAAAAATGGAACTGGCTGGAGTTCTGCTGTAGTCAGTACTTGCAGGTCTTTGCCCATTAAATATATTTAATATGTGTGAGCAAGGACTTACTGACTTGCCTGTAGCTATGGAATTAAAAGTCAAGAGAAAGGGAGGAAAAAAGTAATCTAGATAAATGACTTTATTCCCTCAGGTGACATCCAGTCAGAGCAGATCCTCAGCACTGTGCAAGTTTTAACAGAATTGTGTATAGTGAACAGAGAGGTAACATGACTTACATTCTGCTAAACTACATGCCTCTTCACTTAGGCTTGGTCTCTCTAAGGCAGATCTAAAGAGAATTCACTCAGCTGCACCAAATCCATTTGATGTGAAGGGGTTCAAACTCAGAGGCCTATGAAGTGTCAGTCGCTGAAGATTAGGCCTGAGTGCCCCACTCTCACTTTCCACCCCACATACAGAGGAAGCATTAACTTGATCACTGACCGGTGGGCATCAAAGGAAGAGGAAGGGGTAGGGATTGGGGAGAAAAACCCACATAGTTTCTTCTATGCAATTATTGAAAAAAAATTGTGCTGAAACTTAAAAATTGAAGAGCAGAGCTGACTATCTGACAAATTTATCTTTTCCAAGGAAAGAGCCAATGTATATGCACCTTTACCAAGAATAATCCTAAGCAAAGTGATTTGTCTGTAACTTTAATTTACTGCTCAAAATGAAAAATAAATAAATTGGCTTTAAAATAGTCCAGCTGAAAGTTCAGTAAATTAAACTTTAGGTTTCTGAAAGCTACAATTTTATTTTAAAATAAATTTACCGGACTTCCCTGGTGGCACAGTGGTTAAGAATCCGCCTGCCAATGCAGGGGACACGGGTTCGAGCCCTGGTCCAGGAAGATCCCACATGCCATGGAGCAACTAAGCCCCTGTGCCACAAACACTGAGCCTGTGCTCTAGAGCCCACAAGCCACAACTACTGAGCCTGTGTGCCACAGCTACTGAAGCCCACATGCCTAGTGCCCGTGTTCCACAGCAAGAGAAGCCACCGCAATGAGAAGCCCACGCGCCACAACAAAGAGTAGCCCCTGCTCGCCACAACTAGAGAAAGCCTGCGCACAGCAATGAAGACCCAATGCAGCCAAAATTAAATAAAAATAAATTTATATAAAAAAAGAAATTTACCAGCAAAGATTAAAAAGCATTTGCTTCATGATTCCAATTTGTTATTGGTCCAAGAGCCTATTTCAGAAGTAAGTGAAACTTAAATTTCACCTCATCCACCCACAGCTCGCACTGCTGGAAGAGCAGGACTGAGCATAATACATGACTCTCAGAATGCAGCCAGCCTGTCCACCTAAGACCTGGGAGAGATTCATTCAACAGAAGTTTACTGAGTGCCCGACTATGTGTCCAGTTCTGTTCCAGGGGCTGTGGATTTAGTAGTGAGTGAGAGCCAAGGTCCCTGAACTCACAAAGCTTGGAAGTGATACATTTATTATCTAACTAGTATGTCAGATAAGGACAAAAAGACACAGGATGTGCACACGGAGGGGTGGAGTTACAAAAAGAAGAAAGGGAAGTTGCCCGTAGACGTGAGAAAGTCCCAAAGAGGTTTCATCTGTTTTTGCCCAGGCAGTAGCCTGGGGCTTAGTTTTCTATGTGATCCTGGACGCTTCAACCCTACAGTAGTTTGCATAAAATTTCTAGGAGCCCTGCTAGGGGAGAATATATACAGCCTAAGTCTAATCTGTACACTCAATTACCTTGTCCCTTGAAACTGTCTCCCAGGCCCCTTGTGGTGTCTGTGCGTCGCTTCCTGACCTCTGATGGACAACGCCATCCCACCCCCTGACCCCTGTAGATAACCGGCTATGACCCTGCATAACTCATTGACAACTGGTGGGACACTCAGGACCCTCACCTCTAAAATGAGGGGGCAGCAGAACAATTGTTCTTTTAAGTCCTTTCTAGTTCGAAGACCTAGTGACTCCCTAAATTAAAACTTAAAGTAACTCTATATTCTTTTCTTCTATTTTTGAATTTTAAGAAGTAGGAAAGAAAAGTACCAATAAGTTATTGTTTGATCTCAGAAGCAGGCTACTAACACCAGCCTGATTCTGGAAATAATATAAAAGAATTGTAATTTAAAACCTCAGCGAGAGGGAATGATAAAAACTCTTGGGATATATCGTGAAGCTTCCATGTCTGAACCATACGGAGAAGGAAGCATCTTACCTGTAGGGACATCTCGATCAACATTAGTAACTTCTTGATTCCTATCCACACCTTCTTCCCTTTGACTTGCTGGGCAATTGTGGTGCGTTCTTTATCCCTGAAGTTGCCCAATAGCTACAAAAAGAATTAAAAAAATGAAAGCCTTCTATAATTGCATCAACAACATTAGTTAATTCCCACATTTACCCTTAAAAGAACAGTGATAAGAACTACCTAACTGGTTCAAGCTGACAGAATTCTCTCATATTTTAAAATCTAACCTGACTTTCCTGAAATCCATTAGCTGCAATCATGAAAATGAAAACTGGTATCCTAAACTCTGTTTTCTTACGGACCTTGATTATAATTTAGAGATATATTTGCTGGGGGAAAAATAGCTCCAATCCATAATAAATATCAGTTAAAATTTTTAACATTCCTTTCTAGGAATAATCTGTTATGTGTCAAAGCAGACTAAATTTAATTCTCTTACTCAACCCCAGCACAAAAACTGCTCAAACAGGTAAGCTGGAAACATTTATCATATAGATAGTTTCTATTTCGTTGGGAGTATGCCCCAATTGTATGGGTCTTGAGGATTTTAAGAAGCCTTCCTGGGTTTCCCTGGTGGCGCAGTGGTTGAGTCCGCCTGCTGATGCAGGGTACACAGGTTCGTGCCCTGGTCCGGGAAGATCCCACATGCCGTGGAGCGGCTGGGCCCGTGAGCCATGGCTGCTGAGCCTGTGCGTCCGGAGCCTATGCTCCGCAACGGGGAGAGGCCACAACAGTGAGAGGCCCGTGTACCGCAAAAAAAAAAAAAAA